TTTGTATTTTCAGTTCCCAACATAGTACATATTGAGCTCAGTATGTTTTCATTTTTCCGAGGGAAGAACTTAGTGTGTACTCAAGAATAGGAAATGTAGTTAAAAGTTTAGGGCAGAGTAGGTCAAGGATGATGTCTTTTTAAATAGAGATCTTTTCAAAGTAAATGAACATAAAAACAGTGCATGTGCAGTCAAAATGTTTTATCAGTAATATCCATTATCTTGAATGGTACTTATTTTCAAAAATGAATCAACTTAATGGAATAACTTTTTCTTTATAGCTAACATCCCAGCTGGTGCTACTCACTGCCACAAATAATTAGGATTCAAAATAGATGCAAATTCATATTATAATATATTGCATGGCTTTGTCATTTACTAGCTACATGACTTTGGATGAGTTAATCAATTTCTCTGAACTTCAGTGTCCTCCTGTATCAATAAGGGTTTGATAAAATAGTTACGTGAGATACCTATTTAAACAACTAGTGCTATGGTTGACTCAGAGTAAGATGCTCAACAATTGTTAGTTTCCTCTCTACCACATTTAACAGATTGGAAGGCAAACCCTCATCCCTCTCCTGGTCCCCTCTACCCCCCCCCCGCTTTTTTTAATGCTATAAAGTTTTGAAGTTCAGTTATCAGATGCATACCCATTTAGGCTGATTACGTCATTTTTTTTGCTTCCTTCTTTTTTTTTTTTTGATAGGAACAGAAAAATCTGGTCTCACAGAGCTTTGTCTTGAAGTGACACTACATGCATATATCTGGTCTTCCCATCTACTCCTTCCTTCCACTTGTCTTTCCCTCCTTATTCATCATATATTTATTGAGCATGTACTATGTGCCAAGCACAGGGCACATATCATGATGACCAAGACAGACAGGGTTCCTGCTTTCAGGAAGCTCACAGTCCAGTGGGGAGCAGTGTAATGAGAACTGTGATAAGGGAAGTACATGGAGGTCCAAGACCACATGCCTAGCGACCCAATCTAGTCAACAAGTCTGCTTGAAAAAGAGATGGTCAATCCGAGACCTGAAGGATAAGTCATACTGAGCTAACTAAAGAGGGGTAAAGGGTCTCAAAGGTGAAGAAAGCATCATAGCACAAGTTTTGGTGAGAGAAAGCATATCAAGGAACTGAAGGAATTTTCGTGTGGCAGGAGCAATGAGAGAATGACAGCAGGTGAGGCTGGTGATGTCAGCGGGAGCCATGCAGTGGCGGCATGCCACTGAAGCATCCTAAGGAAGGAAGTGATATGATTAGATCTGCATTTTGGTGAGACCATTCCAACTGCACATAAGAGTTTGAGGGGTATTAAGTCTATAGGCAGGAAGAACAGTTAAGAGGCTGCTGCTATTGATATTTTCTTCTCCTGACAGATATTTGGATTAACTCGTGCTCTCCAGAAATCATCACCACCGAAGATCCCATATTCAACACTCAAACTGAAATGCACGTGACAGATTTTATCGCCAGTGACAGTACATATTCAGCATCATCCCCTTCCTCTACGATTCCTGCCCTTGCTACTACTCGTGCTCTGGCTTCTACTTCTATTCCACGGAGAAAAAAATTGATTTGCATCACAGAAGTTTATATGGAAACTAGCACCATGCCTATGGAAACTGAATCATCTATTGAAAATAAAGCATCATTCAAGAATGAAGTTTCTGGATTTGGAGGTAAATGCTTTCTGTGGCTGTGTTATGTGCGTGTATGTGTTTACATATTACAGACAATTCATGGTATCCAGCCTGTCTCCAGACTGGGCATTCAGGACCTGCCAAATACAAATCAAAGCTTAACGCAAACTCAACTTTCATAAAGTCATAGAACTTGAGAGCTGTAAAGACCCTTAGTGATGAAACTAAAAATCATGAGTATACAAGGGCTTCGCTGTTAAAAACTCAAAGATTTAAAAGCAAATTACTATCTGTTACTGTGTGGAAGTTCTTTTTAAAATATATATTTTAAATGCCTATGATTTTATCCAGTCATCTCTTTCTCAGGTAGACTTATTGACTAGATTGGGTCGCAAGGCCACAGAGAGGAAGTGACCTCTGTTATACAACAACTTATAGAATAGAAAGAGTATGAGATGCAAGGCCGAGGATTCTACAGGCAAGAAGCACGAGGGGGTCTAACATCACAAAGGGTTGCAGAGGTTTTTCTCCTGCACTGTCTGTTGTCTCAGTCACCTGGATCGTTAGATGAGCAGCACACACAAGGTACACACGGAGGACCAACAGGCCATGTCTCTGCTTCCTGCAGGCGTCCCCACTGCTCTGCTTGTGCTGGCTCTCCTCTTCTTCGGTGCCGCAGCTGGTCTTGCATATTGCTACATCAAAAGGTGAGATTGTTGGCGCATCACTAGTCCTGTAATCTTTGTCATCTCCCTATCTTGTGTTTTTCTAGGGTTGTAATTGACATTTTATTGGTCAAAACAGAGATGACAAGTCCTCTTATACATCTCACCTCTCCTCCCTTCCACCCAATCTTTCCTACTATTTCAGTACATGCATGTCATCTAGCCTTTAGATATTGGTCAGTGGCTATCCTTTGAAAATCAAGAAATGAAAAGAAAAATAGACATCCGGGGAAAATTTATATGCTTTATTTGATTTTTCATTCCTTGTTTTTGGTGGAAGAGTTGTGAAGTCAGCCCAAAGTCTGGCCTGTAAACATACTGTCCAATCTAAATGACTCCATTAAGGTGGGGATGTGTTCATGTATTTGAACATGCATGTGTTATCATCACTCTGAAATAAAGGGATCCAGTGTACTGGGCCAATATGTGCTGTGGCAGACAAAGCATTATCTATTGCAATTTGCGTTACATAGAAGTCTCTCACTTTACTGTCATGTTTATGCCTAAAGGTATGTGAAGGCCTTCCCTTTCACAAACAAAAATCAGCAGAAGGAAATGATTGAAACCAAAGTAGTAAAGGAGGAGAAGGCTGATGACAGCAACCCTAATGAGGAATCAAAGAAAACTGATAAAAACCTGGAAGAGCCCAAGAGTCCACCCAAAACTACGGTGCGATGCCTGGAAGCTGAAGTTTAGATGAGAAAGAAGTGAGAAGACCCGCCTGAGGCTGGTTTCTTTCATGATATGTATCCTGGCCCCAGCTGGGGAAACTATTAATAAAATGGCCAAAGAATCAAAGAAGAAAGTCCAGCCTTGGTTCCTAACTGAATCAGCTCAGGGCTACCTTATGACTATGGAGTTCACCAAAGAGAACTCCCTTCTTAATGCAGTCCTTTCTGGATCCTATCCTCCTACCTCCAAAGCTTCCCACCGCCTTTCTAGCCTGGCTATGTCCTAATAAAATCCCATGGGAGAAAGGAAATTTGCAAAGCACATGGATCTAAAACAGCTCATCAGTACACAATTGTAAAAAAGCCTCCAGACTGTCCAGGACCAGGTGAGGTGAGAGGCAAGGAGTCACTGAGACCAAGGCTTTGTCTGCTGACTCCATAGCCCAGATCCTTCCTTCAGTTCTGAAAGAGAAACACTTACACCACCTGGCATGTCCTTCTGAACCAGGCAGGAGCAAAAGGACAGAGAAGTTTAGCACCTGAGAGCCATGGAGATTCCCATGATTTGACACCTAAACTCTGTAAAGGCAAAATAAACAGAGAAATAGAACGAGGCTGAGGATACTGACAGTGTGTGGTCAGCAAGGACTATCACCGTTGACAGAGTCAAAGTATTCTTCTCTGGATAAATTGAGTTGGAATCACTTTTTAGAACATACACACATTTTCTTTCCTCTATTCTACTGTTGCTACTATTTTCTTTAGACAATATACTTTTACAAAGAAACAAAACTAAATACCCTTATAAATTTCTATTTTTAACTGATTTATAGAAATTACTACTGAGGAAAATTACTGTGTTAAAAAAGTAATAAAATTCAGCAAACATTTGCTGAATATCTAAAATGTGTCAGGTGCTGTGCAAAGAATTACATGCCAAAATTGAATGTTATTCATCCAAAAATTGTATATAGTAGAATGCTATGTGAAGCTAAGTTTTTTCAGTTTGGATATCCTTAGCTTATCCACTTTCAAACTAATTTTTTTTTTGCTTGGACTAATGTTATCCATCTTCTCTATTATGGCAACTATTATAACCTTAATTTATTATTAACATACCTAAGAAGTACATTATTACTTCTCCACACCAAAACTTCTTAAATGCCATTAACAAATGTATCACTAGCTCTCCTTTTTCCAGCAAGAAGAGCCTGAGAGGTGCAGAAATATTTGTGCCAAAAAAAAAATAAATAAAACATTTAGAAAGCTTCTTTGCTCTCTTATTTACATAGATGTATTATACTTTTCATGCAAAATTTAGGTAAGGACCAGATTATGATATATTGTTTGTAAAAGTAAAAGGAACAACTTTGGTTGTTAAAATACAAACAAATGTAAACCTCACAGTATGTACATTATCATGTTGGGTGTTCTTGCTTCAAATGGTCTTATTTTAAGTTGGCCAAGTACACACACATTAAACAATCCTTTATTTAAGATTGAGTTCCTATGTTCCAATCCATTTCAAAGTTCACTGGGAGTTGGAGATTCAGGATAGCTCATCTGTCCTTTTTCTCTAGCTTTCTCCTTTCCCTCCTCATTAGACTAAGAATCATCTTATTCCCCTCACCTCTGACCCCATAGCTCCATGGTTCTTTTAGCCCAGAGGCTGTAACCTGCTGGCATAGTCTTTTCTGGTTGGCCCACAGAGTATCATCTTAACATTTGTTTTAATTGCCAAGAATTAAAAATCAAAAGATTTTTTATGTTTACATTTCTGGGTGCCCTTTATAAATGGAAAGATCTGGAAATAGAGAACCCATATTCCCTCACAGCAATAATTACCTGATACTGAGTAGTGGCTGTTCCTGCTAAATGGGATCTGCTCTCTCCATTTCACCACAGTCCCCATCACCCCTATTGCAATCTCAAAGAAAAGTAAAGATGGCATTTCCTGTGGATCTTGTAATACCGTGGCCTCTTTTTACACCTAGCCATGTCTGCCACGTACATGACCTGCCTGGCCCTGCAGGTCTGAGTCAGAAACTCTGGTCTGTCGGTCCTTAGGGTTTATCAGCTTCATGCAGTTCACAGGGAATGAAGAAGAAAAGAGGGAAAGAGCTCAAGTAGCAATCTTCCCTGTGTGTGCATCACCTGAAAATAATCAGATCTTCCGCACTACATCTCCCATCTTGTGGGCATCTACTATATATTAGGATGCTATCATCTCCTGTTATTTTAGACAGGTTTGTGTGCTACCCAGGAAGAGGAAGGGGTGGGGAAGAAAACCCCATCCAGCCACATATAATCATTCAATAGCCCAAATGGCATTTGCAAACATACTGATGAGGATATGAAGATGTAACTTCCATCATTATGCAAGGGAGGAAGGAAAAGAGGGAGGGAAGGAAGAAAAAAAAGAAGGAAAGAAACTAATATTTACTGAACACCTACTAGGTGACAGTCATTTTACACATTGTCCCATTTAATCTCTACACTTTCCCTGAGAGATAAGAATTATTGCCAATTTTTATTAATTGGAAATTTGGATTTTTAGAGGAGCTAAATCATTTTCTGAGGCCACAGGTCTACTTACATAATAAAGGTAGGATTCACTCCCAGTTCAGAATGACTGCAAAGCCCATGCTCTTTTCCCTAGTTCACAATGCTTCTCTTGCAAATGATAATATAGGGATGTGAAATATTCCAATATGCAAGCTTGAAATTGGCCATTTGCAAAAACAACAGGGGTGAAATAAGGGAAACATCTCAGGACTCCTGTGTCAACTTCAGGAAATCTATCTTAAATCCATTGGCAATGACTAGGAAAAAAGAACCATTAAAAAACTTTGAGATCTGTCTTCTCATTGACGCAGACACCAATCTCAACAAAGACCTACCTGGTCCAGCTCATGTGGTCAGAAAATGTAAGGCTCGGAAGGTTCCAAGATAAGCTACTCTAAACTCTTTTTTCACAGAGTAAAAAAAAAAAAAAAAGATGAAGCCTAATGTCAGAGATGGCTAGAGGTACAGCCTGGTCTAAAAGCCTCCTTCTTCCTAGTCAAATTCTCTTTGTTCTCCACTGAACAAATAGAAATTGGAAGAATAAAAGGGACCACCCCAATTTAGACCTACAATTCAGCCCACCAAAGCCAGTCTTCAAAAGAAGCGGGTAGAGAACCATATAATGACATTTCTAGGTAGTGCAAAGGATCTCCCTGCCCAGAAATGCCCCTTCATCGTGTCTGCCTTTCTGACTCAAACAGATCCATTCCTTTGAGCAAAGATACTCTGTCCTGAGAAGGAATCCCCAGTAAAATTGCATGTTTTTATAAAGGCCAGGCCACTTTCAAATATTAACATGCCAGTACGGGTCCAATAAGGGCAAGTTGATTTCTAAGGGTAGAAAGCTCGACCAAAGCATACGGCTTGAGGCCCAGCACAGTGCTCATACACAGTTGGAATCTATATATGTCCACTGGCTTGAACATAATTGACTCATATTGATTTCCAGAGCAAAGAGTCCTACATTTTATTGCCTCTAGACCTTCAGCTAGTGCTGGGGAAGAACAGGTTTGCAAGGACAATAATAATAATAACATGCAAGTCAATGAATTCTTACTAAGAAATGGGAGGGCCACTCACACCAAAAAGAAAATGTTTTAAGCCTCCAAACATGAAAAAAGCAAATATTTGTCAGTTTAATTTTCTAGTTAAAAGTAAATAAAATTTAATGGTTTACCCCCATAATAATCTATATGTGAGGTTAGGTCTGACCTAAGAGCATTTTAATAATGCTAAAATCAGATAGGAATGCTCTCCTTTCTGTGTGTTCCCCAGGAAATGCCCAAATTTCCAAACAGTGCTGATGTAATTTAAGATGTCCCTGTTTACTATCTAGAAGATCATTTGCTTATTTTTTAAAAAATAGACTTTCTATTTCAAAATAGTTTTAAATTTACAAAAAAAAAGTCATAAAGATAGTATAAAGCAGCAGTCCCCAAACCTTTTTGGCACCAGGAAGACAATGTTTCATGGAAGACAATTTTTCCACAGACCTGGGAGGGGGATGGTTTCAGGATGATTCAAGTGTATTACATTCATTGTGCACTTTATTTCTATTATTATTACATTGTAATATACAATGAAATAATCATACAACTCAGCATAATGCAGAATCAGTGGGAGCCCTGAGCGGCTGTAAAGACAGAGGAAGCTTCGCTCTCTCCCCCGCCACTCACCCGCCTGCCACTCACCTCCTGCTGTGTGGCCCCCTTCCTAACAGGCCACAGACAGGTGGGGGGGGGGTTGGGGAATGCAGGTATAAAGAGTTCCTGTTTACCCCACACCCAGTTTCCCCTGTGATTAACGACTGACATAGTATGGTACATTTGTAACAACTAATGAGACAATATTGACACACTATTATTAACTGAAGTCCACACTTGATTTTGACTTCCTTAGTTTTACCTGCTGTCCTTTTACTGTTCCAGCATCTCATCCAGCAACCCACATTGCACTTAGTCATCATGTGCCTCCTCTTGGCTGTCATAGGTTCTCAGACTTTTCTTGTTTTTGATAGCTTTGTCAGTTTTCTGGAATACTGCTGAGGCGTTGTACGGAATATCCCTCAGTTGGGATTTCTCTGACGTTTTCTTATGATTACACTGGGGTTATATGTTTTGGGAAGGAAGACCACAGAAGTACAATACCACTTTCATCACATTATATCAAGGTACATACCATCAACATGACCTATCACTGTTGATATTAAGCTTGAGCATCTGGCGGAGGTAGCGTTTGTCAGGTTTCTCTACTGTGAAGTTGCTCTTTCTATGCTGTATTCTTTGGAAAGAAGTCATTATGCACAACCCACACTTAAATAGACAAGAGTTATGTTCTGCTTCCTTGAAGGTGGAATATTGACATAAGCTATTTGGAATTTTCCTGCACAAGATATGCATCTATTTTCCCTCATTAATTTATTTATTCAATCATTTATTTATATTAGTATGGACTCAAGAATATTTCCTATGTTAAGTTATAATCCAATACAATTTTATGTATGTTGTTGCTCAATTTTTTTCTATTGGTTGCCATTGGGAGGAGCTCTTTCAGTTTGTTCCTGTATCCCTTTAACATACCCCATTGTTCTGTTTTTATTGTGTACATCCTTACTTTCTGGCACTATAGGATGCTCCAGGTTCATCTCATTTTGCATATTTCATGCCCTGGTTTTAGAATCAGCCATTTGTCCAAGGAGTCCTGGTCCCTCCACCCCGCTTTTATCTTGGAGAGAATGATATTAGAAACCAAGATCTGGGCACTGGGTGTGCTCTTGCTACCAAGATGTCATTGCTTCTAGGCTCTCTCTCAGCAGCGCAGGCAATAGCAGTACCGAGAGTTTCCAATTTCATAGAACAATGGTTCTTTTTTAAATTTAGGGAGCAACATCAGGTTTCTAATGTTTTCATTTTTTTCAGGTAAAGACATCTGAAAATTATGCTACTATCTAACATCACTACCATTTTATGAAAACTAGCAAAACGGAAGAATATAAAGTCAAAATAAAGAGAAGTCACTAAATAAGTCTAGTTTTATGAAAACTCACTAC